ATTTTAATATGCAAATCCGAGGTAGTGGTCAGACCGCACAACTAAGTGACGCTGCAAGTCAGCAAGACGTCGAAGTTGTAAAAATTTCTACATCGTCGCAAGTTTTCTAAAGGCTGAAATTTTGTGGGCTACTTTATTTTCATGTATCATTGATGAAAAAACAAGTCAGACCTCGATTTCATGTGACAGAGCTAGTCAGCATTCATCGGAAGTGAGCGTAATGAGCGCACGCGGTTGCTGGTGTTATCTGGGGTTTTAATTATTTTTTCTCCAAATTTCATCATTGTTCCAATATTAATTGAACACTAATCTATTTCTATCGATATTTAATCACTGCATAATAATAAATTACCATAATAATCCATTTTTATCAGTGTTATTGGACCATAATGATTCATAATAATTGTAGTCGATTATTCTCACGATATTGAAAATTCATAAAAAAATGTATAGTTATGCGTGATAAAATAATTCTTCTTATTCGTTTAAATTAAATGTAATTGTTCCTTCAGAGGTAGAATCTCATTTTATTTTCGTGTGTCTGCGCTGACAAGCCAATGAACTTCTGCAAGGGTCACAACGAATCAAGACAACACGCCGCAGGAAAACTAGAGCGGGTCGGCCTAGAGGGGGCAGCTTCGACCCGAAACCGTTCCAAAGACCCTCTCATACTGTTAGACTCTTTGAAATGTCGCGATGATAGTGTATACGTAGACGGCGAAGTAAATGGTAAAAAGTATACACTGTTGGTGGTTATGGATTATTTTACAAAGTGGGTGGAAGTCTATGCCATTCCAAATCAAGAGGCCGCAACTGTTGCAGATGTATTGATAAAAGAGTTTATCTGTCGATTTGGAGTGCCCTTGGAGATCCACAGTGACCAAGGCAGAAATTTTGAAAGTCAACTTTTCCGTGGAATCTGTGACAGACTAGGCATGAAGAAAACCAGAACCACAGCATTGCATCCACAATCCGATGGAATGGTAGAGCGAATGAATAAGACCATTGGCAAATATCTGTCAAAAGTGGTTTCTAACCATCAGCGAGATTGGGATCAGTATCTTTCACTCTTTGCAATGGCTTATAGATCAGCTGTCAATGAATCAACAGGCCAAACACCAGCAAAGGTCTTGTTTGGGGGTGAGATGAGATTACCGTGCGACCTCGAGTTTGGATGCTGACCTGGAGAAGATGTAGCTGCTGAAGATTATGTGATCCAGTTACGAAGAAGAATGGACGACATGCATGAATTAGTTCGCTTGCATCTCCAAATCGCCAGCGTCAGGATGAAGAAACGGTAGGATACTCAAGCTACGGAGGGATGTTTCAAGGAAGGCGACAAAGTCTGGCTCCATAACCCAAAAAGACAAAAGGGTTATTCTCCGAAGCTTCAAAGGTCTTGGGAAGGTCCGTACCTCACCAAGAATAAAATAAATTGTAATTTACCGTATAAGTAAGATCCCAAACGGTAAACCAAAGGTAGTGCACCAAAATAGGCTGGCGCCATTTGAGGGTGACCATGAAGAAGAAGTAAACCAACTTCAAGAAACACCAGACCTTGTCTTTGAAGAATTTATGAGTGCATATGGAGGTACTGGAAAAGCCAGATATGGTGTTACGACCGAGCAACAACAAGATCTGCTCTCGCTTCCGAAAGAATACTCGCTGGTCCATAGTACTTCCGCCAGCATCATTGACACGCGAGGACTGGCATATGTGTTCCGTAAGAAGTTTGGTCGACTGGTAGAACTTCAATGTCAGTTACCAGCCCCTGGAAAAGCCTTAAAACTTCAAGACGGGTCACGTTATCTATTTTATTTAATAACGAAGAACACCTTCCAAGATCGATCCACCTATCAGGATGTATGGGAAGCAATACTTAGTCTAAGGGAGCACGTACGGGAGTCCAATGTACAGAAACTAGCCATGCCAAAGATAGAAGGAAATCAGCTGGATTGGAGGATCATTAGGAATATGGTGGAAGTAATCTTTCAAGATACCGGAGTTCAAATACTGGTCTGCAGCCATTCGCCCAGTGCCCAGGTTACAGTGAAGACAGTCCCTTATTACTTCCGTGCAACTGGAAATTATAAAAGAGGATTCAGTTGCAGATACAACCATTCCAGTTTAGTTTCGTAAGAGTCTTAAGGAGGGGGCAATGTTATGTGAGCCATTTCATTATTCAGTCATGCTCTAATCCTCCAAGTCCCTCTCTGTCTTATTTGGCCCTTAAGGCTCAACTTGTCCGATTATCATACATAATTAAACCAAACCTATGTGACGACTATGGCGGACGAGCTTTCGATTAATGTTCAAGAAAGAACGGGATAATGTTTCTAGAGTATTTGGTGAATATTCTGGCACATTGGCCAATATTTTTAATTTGTATATAAATACTGAAGGAAGATGAACAAAGTTAGTTATTATATGGACAGTGAAGATAAATAGTCAACAATTTTAAGACATTCGAAATATATATAAATTAGAACAATAGTGTTATAAAATAAATAAGTGTTTAAATAAATTATTAATAAATAAACTGTTGTTTAAAATAAACAAACATCACAGTACAATTCTAAATATTAACTTTTATTAAATTCTAATTTACTTTTGCTTTTTATTTAATTGCAGCAATGTTTATTTGTCGTTTTATTTTAGATTTCCTGTGAATCCAGCAAAGAAAAATCTTTGGATTCAGGCAACGAAAATTACAAATTGGATGCCTACACCAAATGATAGATTGCGTTCAAAACATTTTGAAAGAATTTTTTTTTATGAGTATAAAGACGTTTACTAAATGCAGTAGATGGGGAAAAATATCATGGATACGTAAATTATGGTATAGATTTGGATAATAACTTAACTGAAGTTGCAAAAGAAGCTTTTGTTTTAATGGTTGTTGGCGTTAGTACAACATGGGAATTACCGGCAAAAATGTGGAATAGTTTCACAATGTGTATTAAAATTAATTAAATTCTTTAACTTTTGATGGGGCTTCATCAAATGTAACAATGGCACATATGCTGTAAAACTAATTTTTTTAACATGAAACCATAATTTACATTAAATGAAAAAAAAATGATGTAATTTTTAAAAATTTTTAATGATGGCGACGACAATTTTATAAGGTGGAAATTTATAAAAAGACAGACAATTTACAAAATGCAGAGGGTCTTCACTTAGGAAATAAGCTAAGGAATGCATATTTACATTATTTTCAAACAAAAGTCCGTTTAGCAATTCAATTATTGAGCCAATCTGTTGCTGATTTTTTGAGTTGTCAAGATGAATTAAAACTGGAGGAATTTCAGGGTTGCACTGGGACAATTAAATTTATAAAAACTGTAAATAATATATTTGATATTTTAAATAGTAGGTCGCTAAATCCAACAGGTATCACAAAGGCACTTTTTGAAAGCAATATTAAAATTACAAAGAAATTTATAGAGGTAGCTATCGAGTATATTTCTAATCTAAAATTTAATGATGAATTAATTATAAATTCTAGTCGCAAAACGGGATTTATAGGTTTTATAATTTCTTTAAAAAGTGCATTATTGATGTATAATGAAATGATTTGTGAAGAAAACAAATTAATAGATAATTTATAAAATGAATCAAGACTCTCTGTAATTATTTTTCTCCTCTATTCGCGCAAGAGGTGATTGGAATAACAACCCCACTTGCAGACAATTTACTGCAGCCTATAAAAGATTAATTCGAGAAAAGGGGGCATGGGTAACTGTATTCCATTAGAGGATATACCTATATTAGTAGAATCTAGCAGAAATACAGGTCAAGCAGAATTAAATATAAATATGAGTAAGCCAAGACTCATGATTAATGAACCTCAAGAAAACTATTCTTTACAATCTTTATGGGATGATCATGAATACATAATGAATCCCTTTGTAATAAGTGAATGTTCACTTCAGATTGTCGTTTATATTGCAGGGTTCGTTTCTTGCCACTTGCAAAAATCATTAAAATGCGAACATTGTTTAAGTGCCGAAAAAGCTAATTTTTTAAATTCTTTAAAAGAAAAAATCTCGAGGAGGATTAACATATCCGTCACAGGATGTTATAAATTTATACAAATTGTGTGAACATTTTATGATAAAAAATTACAAATACTTCTTTATAAATATTTAAAAAAATAGAATCAGGCCATCGAATTAAATTGTTTTTCTTTTTTAAAAGACCATGCTGCTGACAACAACATTTACTTTTTAATTGAAGCAATCATTTTAAAATATTTAAATATAACAATTCATTTTAAGACAAAAAAAATATCTGAAGTTGGGGACCCGATAAGGCAATATTATACCAAATTAGTATTATTTAAGGGTTGGTAATAAATTTATGTTCATTTATGTATAATTTTTCTTATTAGCTTAATTTAATAATAGTGTAATTCTTTATTAACTAAAAATAAATCTTTTTGTAATACATGTAGATCATTTTGTTTTATTTTGCGGAATTTAAAAAAAACTCATTTTATTTTATTATGTAAACGATTTAATTCAGTTTATTACAATATATTTTTTTCTTGTGTCTTATTTATTGTTACTTATTTATTTTAATTTTTACGCTTTTAACTTGTTTAATGCCCAAAAAGATCAATAAAGTATTAATAACATAAATACAAGTTAATTTATTTATTTCCAACATGTTACGCCTCTGGCCGAATATCGTTGGTGTCAGAATGAAACAAGATTTTCATCGGCGTTATGAGTCCTCTGTTTATTACCTAGTCTAAGGTTTGTAGCGTACCTACATAGACATACTCTTCTCTATCCGGGCAGACTCTACACCGTCACGAGTCATTGGTTAATTTTCAAAAACAAATAATTTTATTATTGTAAAAAATGCAAAAGATATTTTACTATTAAACAAACTAAATTGTTTTGATACTAATAGCGCCATCTATTGTCTAAGCCGATTACTTTTTAGCTCAGCGTCGTACATATTTATTGGACTTTACATAAATAAATACGTACCTCTCTATTAATATTTTTCAGAGATTCGGGTACAAAAAATATTGTGTATATAATACCCAAAGTTGAAATACCTCCAGCTATGGCATAAACAGATGGATAATTAGTTGCATAGAATAAATAGGAACTTGATATGCTGCCACACAATATACCTAATCCAATTATACCTTCCATTATAGCCATTCTAAAAATATAAAAAGAAATAGATCGGATTTCGAATTTCTATGTCGTAAATATTTGCCATTTACTGAAACAGTCGCTTGGGAGAAATATGATTCATAATTGTTTTTATTATTATTCTGAATAACTTAAAACCTTTCTTTTAAATAAAATATTCATAAACGGCCATCTTTTCGATGATAGTGTTTTCTGTTTTTTTTTTACCATTATATCAAATCATCTGCAAGTTACTCCAGAGCATAATGGCAAATAGCCATTTCTCTGTCTTACAAGCTGCTTTCTGTGTTTCACTTGTAGGGAGGTTATTATTTAGAATCACCTACCCACATAGTAAGTGCTTCTCCAGATATCAGAACTCCGATGTAAACCTGATACTGTCCCATTTGTCCCTTTAATCAAAACAAATCATTTTGATTGATTTAAAATGAGCTGATGTTTTTACAATGGCTTTCTAATTACATACAGGAAGACAATGTAGGTACATCCAATACGGTTTGTGTCATCAATGGATGTTGACACTCTTTGAATATCATGCAAGCTTTTATTTTTATTAAGAATTCTTATTAAGAATAGAACGCAAAACCACTGAAGATTCTCTGATTAAAAATAAGACGATTAAACGAAACAATTTTTTTATTTCTCAGTATAACATTAAATTTGGCAAACATTTTTGGTACCATAATATACACCTATCAGCAAAACAATTGGTTAAATAAACTTTGCCAGTGGCGTACGGCATGGATAAGTAACACCTTCAACTTCTCTAAATTTCACGCTACTTTTCAGAAACTTATTTGGACTATACTTTTAAATTTTTTAATATTTTTTTAAATAAATCATGTACTCTTGTTGGAAAGTCATAAAGTTTTCGCGATATTCAGACCCAAAAGCGGAAATTTATTTTTAATTTTGTAATTTTGGATTTTTTTATAAAATTATACAGAGCAAACATTTTTAGTATCATGAGAAACACATATCTGCAAAAAAATCACTTAAATAAACTGCCAGTGGTGTATGGCATGGATAAGTAACAACTTCATTTCTTCTAAATTTTAGGCCACTCTCCAAAAATTTATTTGGATTATGAATTTTTTGATGTTTGATGTAAATAAATTATGTACTCCTGTTGAGAATTTACAGTCCAAATAAATTTTTGCTCAGTGGCGTAAAATTTAGAGGTGATGAAGGTATTTCTTATACATGCCGTATGCCACTGACACAGTTTGTTTAACTGATATGTGTATCTTAGGACACAAAAAATGTTTTTAGTAAAATCATACTAAGAAATAAAAAAATTATAACCATTAATAATTTTTATTTTTCAACTTTAACACCCTTTATTTCGGAAACCAGTAATATTTTATGTAAGCATGTTTCGTTAAATCGTCTTATTTTTAATCGGAGAATATGAAGTTTTCCTGTGTCCCATTCTTAATGAGACACTCTGTATATTAAAATATAGCAAGTTTTTGTTCGTGATCCACAAGATGTATAAAAATAAGCCAGATGCGCAGTTAATTCATTTTTTTTTCAGATACATTGATGACAGTTTTGGAATTTACGCCTCAAATATTACTTAAATTTGATAAGTGGTTTTAAACTTTATCCTCCTAATCTTACTATTTGACAGATTAATTAAATCTATCTTCTAATTAAAAGAAAATATGCATCAGTGTAAAATACACTCCACACAATAATTAGCGCATCACTTCAATTTTCGTACAAAAAGTAATTTTTTTTTAACTTATTATCTTACACATTAAGAACTTTTTGTATGCAACAATGGTAAAAAGATAAAACTCGAGAAGGGACCAAACAAATGTATTCGATTTTTTACAAATTTAACAAAAGTAATTTAGCTTCAATCGATAAATTAAAACAAAATTGTTCCACTCCTCGGTTAGCATTTTGAAGTTGATTTATGGTAGTGGGACGAACTGGCCATTTCATACTTGTTATAATCAGCTGGGCAGTAACATGTGGGGATACCAACTTGGGTAAGGTACTGATGAACAATTAAAGCTGTGTGCGGGCGATCGTTATCTTGTTAAAAACAAAATTGTCGCCAACGAATGGACCGTATGGTACAACAAAAGGTTCAAAAATGTCCGTTATGTATCTTACAGCTGTTAAATTTCCTCCAACAACTGGTACTCTGTGAGATCCGCTAAATAAATTCCTCCCCACACCATAACAGAGCCACCACCAAAAGTTTTCATTTAGCTGATTTATACTGAAAGTATCATTCGCCAAGCCTGTAGATTTGAACACTCATCAAAAAAACAAAATATTGGGCCAATCGTCTACAGGGGTCGGCATAAGTCTGGCAACGCTCGAAAAATCGGTATAAGTCTGGCCAAAGTTATCTGGAAATGTATGCTCGAAGATTTACGTGGGCAAATAGACAACGATCCAACACTCGCGAACATCCGTCATTTCATGCAGGATGAAGCTTCGCCGCACTACGCGTTATGTGTGCGGGAGTTCCTTAATGATCATTTTGGAGAATGGATAGGCAGACGAGGAATCTTTGAGTGGCCTGTACGGTCATGTGACCTGACACCCTGCGATTTCTTCATGTGGGGTCTTCTCAAGGACCGCGTTTTTGAAAGAAGACCACGCACCCTTCCCGAGCTCCGAACTGCAATTGAAGAATTTGAAAATCTTCGCGGACACCTTAACATGCTTCGCCTGACCTGTCTCTCCGTTGCGAAACGTTGCCTTCAATACATTGATCAAGATAAGCATCAATTTGAACACTTAAACTAACCCTTTTTCAAATCCCTTTGGAATTTCTTCGAATAAATTCATTTTGACGCTGCATTTTTTTTATGCAAATGTGTTGCCTGACTTATGCCGACCCCTGTATATCCCAATTCACATGATTTCTGGTAAACTCTATACATGCAACAGGATGCTCTCTGGTAAGAGGTGGACACAAGTCGGTCACCCTGGCTCTACAGCCCGGTAATTCTTATATTTCGGACATCGACTAGTTCGATTTGCAGCATTCGCGCTGTACAGTGCCAGAGCTGGGTAATTACATGTACTTTAAAAATAATTACAATTCAAAGTATTTTTTCAAAAAAGGAATTAATTACAAGTATCAAGTACATGTTGTAAAAATTGGAATTATATTGATTTAATTACAAATACATGAAAAAAGGAATTAGCCATTACTTGTATAATTACTTTGCCGATAAAACAACAAATTATAGAATTGAGGAACCATGAACCAACCGGACCGGTACAAAATAAAATTTTTAAATAGGTTAATTCAAAGTGTCAAAGTAACAGCTGTTTGCAACGACTTTCTTAAGGATTCCTTAAAGTTAAAGATATCTTGAGGGCGGGTTGTATAAATCTTACTTAAAGTTAAACCCGAGTTTGTCATGTGTCAACTCAAACCGATTTGAGTTGACACATGACAAATTTTGTATGGCATAGAGTCTAAACCTAAACACCATTTAGCACTTAGGGCTTGGTTCCCCAAACATTAGACTGCACATATAGCATCGGAAATTGACATGTATCACCTAAAACTGAACTTAATTTTAAGTAAGCTTCTTAACTTAAGGGAAAAGGCCAAATCGATAAGTAGTATAAAAAATAGAACAGGTAAATTAATAATAAAATGTGAACTTTTAAAAGTTTATTGATTTGAAACAACAATACAAAAGTTCGTGTACCTATGCATAGGTATTTTTATATTTTACCTAATCATACCATACAAATCGGGCATCTTTAGTCTGGGGCCATTTAATCAAAAAGATAAAATAGTTAACACTAAAAAATTTTATTGACATTCGGTGCGGTAATCAACTCTCGTCAAAAATTATGTGATACCTTTTTATTTTTGTCGTTTGCTTGGAATACTTCATAAAAGTTAAAAACTAATTTTTCAAATATCATTCCCTTGAAATATATTTTTTAACAAGAGTAGACCACAGAATGTAAGAAAAATATTTGGTGTAAAATTATTAATATTTTTTTACTTTTCATCAAGAAGGCAAAAAGTAATGACTCCTGATTTGCAAGCTTTAGTTATAATTATTCATAAAATGTTTAAATTGTTACTTTTCATAACAAATTTTTCAAAATTTCTGTCGGACAGCGCATACCTTCTGGGAGCGTTGACAATTGTGACAAAGGAGGATAATCTCTCAACGGGCCCAGAAGAAGGAAGTGCCGTATTATATTTAAAAAATACAAGGGGTAGCTATCTAGCATCTACACTTCTAAAACTGTACTCTATTTTTTTGTACAAACGAACGTCACACTTTACCATAGGTAATAATTTTTTATCCCGCTAGAGGGCGCTAAAATTAAAAGGAACGCAATGAACAGTCATATTGCTGAATTCCCCATAAAATTACCTTTCCAACGATGTGTCATACTTGGTACTTTACCTATTTAAATTGTATTGGTTAGATTGACGTAGGGGAGAGAACTGATATATGACAGTTGAGGATATTATAGAAAGGTGTCCCCCTTGAAATAAAAATTGACCTGTTTTTGCGTTCCTTTCAAAAAAAAATTATACTTCAAGATATTCTGAGATAGGGCCGGTCGCCACCCTTAATGAATCACCCGGTACATAAAATTATATTGAATTATCTAAAATATATCGTTAGTTCAAACAAAAATGAGACAAATTTTACTCAAATTTGGTTATAGATCTACATCATCAAATAATTTCTTATAACATAAAATATATTTATATTCCGTTACAAGTGCTATTTATTTAATTAACATATTGCATTTTCTACGTAGCGCTAAAGTAACGTAGAATACGTTTATTAAAATAGTTAATCCTTCATTTCAATGTAGAAAACTAGAATAATAACTAGAAATACCTAACGCAACGTAAATAAGTAGTTTTTAGTATTTACTCCATAAAAACTGCTATTTACACCTCTTCATACTATATTTCCTTAGTTTAATGTTTATACAACATAAATTATGTTTATAATCATATAAATACTTCAAAATAAGGATATCTGCATCTACCCCTTACTGTTATTATTTTGGGTTGAACAATTTCACTGATTCACGGCACAACGCTTTCCTCAAATGTACTCAAACAAATGATATGGATGCGAGTCCAAGCTATAGTGACCGGTTCGAATAGGAAATTTCTTGTTTTCTTATCACCTGCATCTCATAAACACGCATTTAAAAGTAATTGTAATTAAAAAATGTAATTGTACTCATAAATGTAATTGTAATTGGAAAAGTAATTGTACTTATGACAAGTAATTGTATTTATACAATTTAAATAATATAAATTAATATAAATACAAAGTACAATTCCTCCACAGATTTTGCTACAATTACCATACCAAATTATTTTGAGAAAACAGTACTTAAATACAATTACAAATTACATAAAAAAAGTAATTGTAATTATTAATTACTTTTTAACTAGGAATTACCCAGCTCTGTACAGTGCCTAGTTTAATGAGCAGTTAATATTTAAAATCGGATGTCTGCTGCTGTGGTAATTCATGGACGACCTTCTGTCTACTCTGGAAATTGTCGATTGTCAAAAACATTTGGAATGTAACGTTGTCTACGTCATTCTTCAAGTAATGTCTTCTCCTAAATTCCTTCTTTGGTGGTCAGGATTGTTCATTTTTTTAATTTCCAAAATAAAATACCACAATAACCACGTTAATTTTATACAAAGTCGAAAGCAACTAATCAAGAAAGTTGTTTGCAATTTCATATTATCATTTTTACTTTATATAAACATTTATGCACGATAAAACTTTTTTGCATTAACGTATCCAAAACTAATATAGAAGTGGGCTCAATACTTAAATATATTGAAAATTCAATAAAGAAAAGCTTTTTTCTCGCTTTTAATAGTGATGGGCTAATTTTTGTGTAAGTGTATTTTAAATGCCCCCTTACCTGACTCCTCGAGTATCTTCAGTGGTAACATCAGATATATATGATAATGTAACGACAAGAAATGTGGAAAAACCTCCTGTTAACATCGATGGTATTGATGCAAATAAAAAGTACCAAGGAGATATATTTGGAAAGTAACTAAATACAGCCATTATGAACAGACCTAATACCATTCCTATAATTATAAAAAGACAGCGTTAAATTTAGTAACAAAAAAAAATAAATTTTTATGTCCTTGAAACAACACTTGTTTTGTTGCATTTTACAAATAGTGCCAAAAGTAGAAGCAGTTAACCGTAGTATTATAATCTAGTGTTTCTATATTGTATACTTATTTTTAGAGTTCTATCAGCCATATTATTTATATCAGTTTTTTTTGAATCACTATATATAATTACCGATCTTTGCACACGTGCGCTCAGAAAACAGTGGATGCTAGAAAAATGTATATGCCACAGTTTTTCGTGTCTTTTTTTTTTCAATATCATCTGATGGAAACATTTTTCTATTCAGATAATTAGTTTTCGAGTTAATTAAAAAAAAGTACGAGAAATTAAGAAAAAATTGTTTTGCCATTTTTTTCAAAAAGTTCGGAACGTAACTAGAAAATACGTATTTTTGTCATGCATATATATCTTCTCCCATTTCAAGTTTTCTTGTAAATAACTAAAAACCAGATATTAGAGAACAAAAAGCAAGCTTATCACCAAGTTGGAACTTACACTCAGGCTTAGGATTAATTTCCTAACATTTTTAAAGTATACCTTTTTGTGTATTTTTTTTGTGCTCTTTTCGATGGCGAAGTTAGTTTTTTCAAATATATTTATTTTGTTAGATGTTTTCGGAAAACCCGGAAAAAATCATATGGGAAAAAAATTTAAAAAAAACTACGCCCTACGGTTTCCTGCGAATTCCCGAAAAATTATGGCAGATTTCGCCGCGGGACTCATTTTATTTGAGAGCCAACAAAAAAATACGCAACTTCTCTAACATTTATAATTTCGCCACAAATTCATCGCAAATTTCATGTCCATGGTTCTGATCAAAAAAACGAAAAAACGACTTTTTAGTAAAAGCACTTCTGGAGGCGAGAAATTCGCCATTAAAACTACCTGTGCAATGAATTTCCGAACTATTTTTGCCTCCTCTTTCGAATGGTGCATTTATTTTCACTATCGGAATGATACTTGCCCAGATAATTAGCATTGTTACAATGGAATATTCCTGAAAACCCGGTTTTTCCTAATTTAAAAAAAATTGAAAAACTGCTACATCTTTTTTTTCTTTTTTTCGGAAAGATCACATCAAAATACACAGGGTCCTTTTTGTTTCATCCAATTACAAATTAATGTAAGCTCGAAGGGGCTTTTTTTCGTTATTTAATTGGACTAATAAAATATCACAATAATTATATACATCTGTTTATTGACCTAGAGATTATTTCATGATTATTTCCGTATACATATTAACGTTTATAATACATAGTTCGCTTGAATTTAAAACAAAATATAGATGAAATGAAACTGGTAGAAAATTTTTGATTATTATCAGAATTTAGTCTACTTTTTGTTATATGGAGTTCTTACCACCGTCGCTTTTTCTATGCTAGCTTGCTAATGCATTTCAGAAAGATACGTTAGATAGATAGGAGTTGAATTAAGTGGAATTTATATAAATTATTATTTAAAACTGAATTATATCGGGTGTCTTAAGTATTATATATTTCTGTATTTTGAGGACTTGTATCTTCTGAACCAATTAAGATATTCCGATGGGGTTTTCACTAAATACTTCTTAAGTAGGATCATAAGTTTTATTAGGGCATACCGGAAATGAAATTGTAAATTTCGCTTAAAAAAAAATGGCGCAAGTCCTATAAATGTGTAAAAATATAGTGAGACATATTATTTAGAAAGTAAAAATAAAAAAGAATAAAGAAATTGCAAGGAAAACTTGTATTTCGTAAAAATTTTTATTAAAAAAGTTATTTCAAAAATGAACGAAATTTTCTTTGCTGATCTAAGTTGCGTACACACAGCCGTTAACCTCTTTTGATTCCTTTTAAAAATAAATATTCTTAATAAAGGAAACTTTGCTCAAATAATGTCAAATTCAAAACAAAATTTTCTAAACTGTCTGCCTGTGAGAGCGGCAGCACTTTATTTGTATTTTACTCTTTGTCTAAAAATACATTCTTTAATACATACAATTTCAAGTTTGTGATATTATCAAAATATTCATATAATCGCAGGCTTCTCGATACAAATAAATTTAGTAGATCCCAGACCAGTTAACAATACTATAAAGACAACGACAATACCAATGTCAACAAGAAGTAACGGTAATCTGAAATTCTATGAGATAGAAATGAATGCACTTTTGTACCCATCACCCATTTAAGAGAATCCGGAATTGGCTAAAAATATGATTGGCCCAAACGAAATAATGAATACAAATATTAAATGTCGAATAAAATGAAATTTAAAATTTTTAGTAAGATTTAATCCCTTGATAAGAAATGTTGATTAAAATTAAATCTCTGGTATAAGTAAGTACCTACCTATTTGTGCAACAATCAAAACCGGTTTTCTTCCATATTTATCAGACAATTGTGCAGTAAAAATACATACACCAAGGGTAATGATTTGTTCAATCATCGATTTAGTAGTATCTATAATATTAACTGTAGGCTGTACCAGTTTTTCTAATTTTTCTATGGTTTTATTGTTTGTATTTCCTAGTAAAGCACATTCTGTTTCATTATATCCTAATATTAGATAACAGGTCCTGTATATCATTAGATTGGTTCCTACAGATCCTAAAAAATAAAAGTTACATTACAATACAACAAGGATTAATGTCAAAATTAAAATAATTATGATGAAATTCCAAACAAGTTGGTAAAAAATGTGCATGAAGAAAAAAGTAAATCAACCGAATTTCCACTTCTAATTTTATAATATATATACAAGATGTTGGGGATAACACCAATATAAATTAACGGGAAATTAATAAAGTAAAAAAGCCTTATACAATTTGGTTCTAAACTCTAGGATTAGGTCCACAAACGTATCGTCTAGAATAACTTGGCATCAGTGCTTACCTGCATGCTTTGTTTGCTTTCACTATTATGAATTAAAAAGTAAACGAAAGGTACAACAGGTGTGAGATATGTTCGATTTTTGTTTAGAATTTTACACGATGTTAAAGAAAACGGTTTATTTCAGGACATAACTATATTATAGCTAAGAACTTTTTTCTCCATTTTGTTTCTTTACTCATTAAACTTAAGTGAGTGTTTTTACTAACACTGTTTATACACGGTAGCACATGAAGTTTCATGTAGCCTATTTATCCTGATCGATAAAATAATGTAATAAAGTAATAAATTGATTGAAACTGTACATTCACTATTAGAAAGAAGTTACAAAATCACGAACAATACTTTCAATTTAGTTACGTCATTTTCATACATGTTTAAACCAGATCTTAATTTTTATGGGTAAGCCTTTAATCAATAACATTATTGTCATGATATTCCTAATACGATCCGACCCTGTATACGCACGCAATCAACTCGTGACCGAAGCAACGCTGACGTGTGGAAACAGCCGGACCGCTCTCGAATATCTGCCGCTGATTCACTCGAAACATCTGGAATGGCGGGGACTACCGTTTAGTCATCTTCGCGAAGTCTCTAGCATTTTCCAGTAGCGGAGTTAGACTAAATAGAGGACGTACCAGCGCCAAGTTTAGTTTAATATAGAACGTTGTATTGAAAAGTAAAAGTGTAAGAAATAAATTAGAATTGTTAGTTAGTGTTCAAATATTATATAAATTAAATATTACGTCGGAAATAAATTGTAAATAGTGTTTTTAAATAAATAAACTTTAAATAAATTAGACTTTCGTCACATTGGTGTTAGAAGTGAAATTATAAATAAATAGTGGACAATAATGGCTATAAGACTGTGTGATTTAAAAGTGCCTGAGCTACGTCGAGAATTAGAAGAACGTGAACTGGAGACGGCAGGGAAGAAATCAGAGCTGGCAGAACGACTTAAAAAAGCACTAGAAAATGAAGGTTTGGATCCGGAAACGTTTTTATTTTTGGATGATGCATCTGCTATAATTTCTTTAATTTCTTCTGATATGTCTTCCATGAAAATTGATATTTCTTCTAATATTTCCTCATTAGAAACTAAAGTTTCTTCAGACATTTCCTCATTGGAAAATAAAGTTTCTTCAGAAGTTTCTTCTATAAAAAGTGATATTACTTCCTTAGAAAGTAAAGTTTCGTCCGATATTTCTTCTTTAGAAGAAAAAGTGTCTTCTGATGTTTCTTCCGTGAAAAACGAAATCTCTCCTTTAGAAACTAAAGTTTCTTCTGATATCTCCTCTTTAAAAGATGAAATTTCTTCCGACTTAGAAAACAAAACGTCCTCTTTAAAAAACGAAATTTCTGCTGATGTGGAAAATAAGATGACTTCTGTTGAGGAGAAAATAATGTCTTTCGTTGAAGAGAAAATAAGAGAGATGGAAAAGAAGATAGAAGAACTCGAACATACAGAACCAGTCAAGGACGGTGAAATAAAGTGTCATGAGGTGGAGTCAAAGTTAAAATTGGAAGGAGCTGTAAACTCTGCTCGTGTCAAAGCCCCAACTTTCGACAGAAAGATGTCATGGACGAACTACCTTAAGCAGTTCGAAACAGCTGCCAGAGCAAACGAGTGGACTGAGAGAGAAAAGGCAGTGAATCTGACAATCGCCCTTCGAGGAGACGCTTTAGATGTCCTTCAGACTATACCCGTGGAAGAGACAGATGATTTTGAACAACTGAAAAAGAGACTTAACATGCGATATGGCCACGAACATTTGGAGCATCTATACCAGTCACAGTTAAAGAATCGCAAACAGAAACGAGACGAGACCCTTCAAGAATATGAAGTAGATATTGCCAGATTGGTGCGATTTGCCTAACCATCAGCTCCGGAAAACATGATGAAATGTTTAGCAGTCCAAACATTTGTTGATGGACTCCGTGACCACGAGATGCAGAAAACACTCCGCTTAGCCCGCCACAAAACATTGGTCGATGTCTTGTCTGCTGCTTTAGAGTATGAGGCAGCTACGCAGGCTTCTGGAGGATACAGTAAAGTGAGAACTGTAAAAGAAGAAAACGTAGAAGATAAACTCGACCAACTAGTTAACATAATAAAGACCTTTACTGATAAAAAGATGAAGACAAAGACCATCAGATGCTGAAATTGTGGTGAACTGGGGCATGTACGCAGTTCGTGCAAATGCCCTAGGGTCCCAACAACTGAAGACAACACGCCGCAGGAAAACTAGAGCGGGTCTGCCTAGAGGGGGCAGCTTCGACCCGAAACCGTTCCAAAGACCCTCTCATACTGATAGCCTCTTTGAAATGTCGCGATGATAGTGTATACTTAGACGGCGAAGTAAATGGTAAAAAGTATACACTCTTGGTGGATACTGGAGCAACTAGGACCATTATACGACCAAAAACCATAAAGAACTGTAAGAGACTTCTACCAACAAGATTGCGACTGTGAACTGCCACAGGTGAAAGTGCCAACATCCATGGGGAAATCCAGGTTAAATTGGGAATTGGTACAGAAAAGTTCACTCATACTGTTATTGTCGCTGATATTGAAGAAGATGTGATTCTTGGAATGGATGTAATGAACTTCCAGTTGGACTTTAAAAATAGAGTGATTAAAGTTGGTGCCGAAGAGGTGTTCCTACATCCATATGGGGACAGTACCGTGCCAGTTGCTGTACAGGAGGATACGGTGGTACCTGGCAGAAGTGAAACCGTTATAGTAGCACGGCTTCAAGAAACTATGGAAGAAGGAACACCCGTAATGATGGAACCTTGGAACCACGATGAAGAGGTTGGACGAGGCATTCTGATCGGAAAAGGGTTGGTCACGACTGCAAAAGAAATTCCAGTTCGTCTCATAAACGTTAATGATCACCCGATTACCATCAAGAAAGAGACCAGAATCGGAACTTGTGTACCAGTAACGTCCATAATTCGTCAGACAACAACTTCTGATAATTCCAACGACAAATTCGAGCAAATGATTGCAGTTGCTGGTCAATCTCTGAATCAATCAGAGAAGAAGAAAATAAAGGAATTTCTTCGACGATATCGTGACATTTTTGTACCAAAAGGAGGAAAAACAGGAAGAACTTCTGTTGTAAAACACAAAATTGACACTGGTGACGCCAGGCCGATTCGTCAATCGGCTCGAAGATTACCAAAGGCCAAGAGAGAGGAAGCTGAAAGGATTGTTCAGGAAATGAAGGAAGACAGGGTGATAGAGCCTTCTACCAGCCCATGGGTCTCTCCGGTAGTCCTGGTCCAGAAAAAGGATGGGACTACGAGGTTCTGTGTGGATTACCGTCAGTTGAACAATGTTACCAAGAAAGACAGTTACTCTGTGCCTCGTATCGACGATACCTTGGACACATTGGCCGGAAGTAAACTATTCTCTACCTTAGACTTGAAATCTGGATATTGGCAGGTGGAAATGGACCCAGTAGATAAATTGCTGAATTGGAGGGTCATTAGAAACATGGTGGAAGTAATCTTTCAAGATACTCAGGTTGAAATACTGGTCTGCAGCCATTCTCCTAGCGTTCAGGCTATAACGAAGACTGTGCCTTGTTATTTCCATGCAACTGGATTTTTGTAAAAGAGGATCCAGTTGCAAATACAACCATTCAATTTTAGTTCCAGGAGGAACTATTTCTTAAGGAGGGGGCAATGTCATGATATTCCTAATACGATCCGACCCTGTATACACACGCAATCAACTCGTGACCGAAGAAATACTGACGTGTGGAAACAGCCGGACCGCTCTCGAATATCTGCCGCTGATTCACTCGAAACATCTGGAATGGCGGGGACTACAGTTTAGTCATCTTCGCGAAGTCTCTAGCATTTTCCAGTAGCGGAGTTAGACTAATATAAATAGAGGACGTATCAGCGCCGAGTTTAGTTTAATATAGAAAGTTGTATTGAAAAGTAAAAGTGTAAGAAATAAATTAGAATTGTTAGTTAGTGTTCAAATATTATATAAATTAAATAGTACGTCTTAAATAAATTGTAAATAGTGTGTTTTTAAATAAATAAACTTTAAATAAATTAGACTTTCGTCACATTATTATATTTGTAGTTTGTATTATACCAAAAGTAGAAAATTTTGGCTACGTGGAGTTGTTCAACTTTACCTTTCTTGAGAATAAAACACGGACAATAATGTAATTTCTTAACTGATCGAACCTAAGTAGAAATAGTTGCAATTTGTTTCAATTTTGGTTTATCCATTAACTTGCAAAAAATGTAAGTTGAATTAAAGAAAGTAGAATGTCTAATAGCCATGAATGATAAATGAAACTACCAGATGAACAGATCGTTTTACAATGAATTTACATGCTGTGAAGTTAAAACAATGAAGTATAATACTATTACGAAACTTTCTCTAGTTAAAAATAAAGATCATGGTGATCGCTGAACTAGAATGCATACAATAATCTCAAGAATTCATGCATCTGTTAATACTTTCTCCATCTAAAAGGAGATGGAGATTAAAATATTTACTGGCATGATTTTAATTGTCGATTTATTTTTAATTTGCATTAAAAACTGTTATAAAATAGATTATGGGTTCGTTTTTTAATGGGTACTTTTAAATAATCTAAAACTATAAAGTATTTGTCGTGATTTTGTAGTTCTTCTCTTCTATAAATACCCAGTATACTTATTACTTTTTACCATTTCAGAGAAACTTCTACTAAAATTACCTAAACGAAATTATAAGCAGAACAACCCTTTCAAAAACAATCCCTTTGAACTTGTCTACAACTTCATTTTTTTAAACTTCACCCTCTCATTTAGTAGGTGTCTGATTTTGAGAAATAACTATCCTCAACAGTCATGTCCATGTGCACTGCACTATAGATAGTGTTCTAGTTCAGAAATAATCTATGCTTGTTGTAAACAGTCAAAATGTGTTTTCATGCTTTGGAGTGTTGATCGACTGAGACTCTCTTGACCATGCATGTGTTTGGAAGTGTTGTAGTTATTTGAAATACCATATTATAACCGAGTAATCCCAAATTGTTTATTTTTTTACGAGCCTCTTCTGTGATATTGTTTGAAATTGCATAGTGTTTTCCTCGATGTTTTCCATATTTTTGAATCCTGTAGTGAAGATGAAGATGAACATGAAACTTGACTTAAAAAGAAAACACCTAAAAATGAACTTAATGAACTATTCAATTAATATATGGATTAAACAAAATACTACATAGTGCAGGTGCACCAGGCACCATCATTCAATTCAGTTTTGCCTTCTTATTCCCTGACAATTTGAAACAGTCAGGGATTGTGTTCTTCTATGCACACTGTCAGGTGCAGTTTCAAAACATTTTTCATTTTGAAAACCAGAACAAACCTAGTGGCATATATTCACACCTTATAAATTAACCAATCTGGCAATATACAAATAATGTCCATAAATATCAGATAAACTCTCATTCGTGCATCTTGTGTAACAAAAACGAGGTTTTACAAAGATATGAAAGAAAAATGTAGTTACATTTAAATTGGTCTGATAGGTATTTGAAAATGTTATAAAATACAAAATATAAAAATTATTTCAAAAAAAATTATGTCATGGTCATGTCATTTTAGATATAAAGTATTTGTCACCAAATGTATAAACTCACAAGCTACAAAAATACAAAAAAAATGAAGAGGTGTCATTTGAAGAAATGAAGTTGGGGTACCTAAGTTGTAGTTTTTTTTTAATATATAAGATTGTAATTAAATTTCGTGAAGAGGGTAACCTACACTTCTGATTTTACTAGAAATTTCTATATCTAATGGATTTTGAATATAAATGTCTAAACAGAGTAATATAGATTTTTATTATAACTAGAATATTATGATCATTTTATCTAGGGTGGCCAACAACATCATTCTAACTGGAGTCGAGTCATCTCTAGGTTTGGGCAATGACTCTCCAGGTTTATATTAAAATTCTCCTGGGGGAGCTGTGAAACTAAAATAAATGCAGCTCTAACTTCTGCGACATTAGGCTATCTGATCCAACAGGTGGGTGATTTGAAAAGTAAAGAGCAAACAAAATGTGTTTATTCATTAATAAAATATTTTTTCTTCAGGTCAATGTTGGCAACTCTATTTTTAGCTATGTAAATTAAATATTTCTTAAAAGTAAAAAGTTTTTTCATAAATTTCTGAAAAACCAAAAATGTAAAACAGCCAATTGCAGAAAAATAACTAAACATTTAAGAAATCATAGATCTTATTGTAAATATAAATACCTACTTAAAAACAAAACAATTTTATTCTCTTAAATCTAATATAAATAAATAACTTACCTAATAATTCAAAACTAAAAAAGGTTATCAAAAGAGATACTTCAATTGTGGGCTTAAAACAACCCATTTTCATTTCAATTCTCAAAAAAAGTGTTTAACTAAAAAATACATTTACAAATTAGGTTCATCTGGTAATTGCTTTGTATTATGTTTTATAATTTAATGATAAATGATAACAGAAAAGATAATGATTTATTTGTAACAGAATAGTTTACTTCCTAGTGTTACTTAAATTACAAATATTTTTGCTAGATATAGGCAGATATATATGTAATGTAAACATAAGAAATTGTACAATGAGTAACTACATTCTAATATTTCCTTGTTTATAAAAGTTTTTAATCATTTGGGGGAACTTTTGCTGATATATTTGAAGGTCACATATGAATACAATAGATGATTAGACATACCTTTAACAAAATGTCTTTAATTATATAATAATTAATTACTGTAAACCAACATAGATATATCCTAAATGCGCACATATCTTTATTTTGATTCATATTTTCTTTCAGGGATTAATTAAAATTTCTTTGTGTAGATTTGCATTGTCATGGGATAATTATGTAACATATACAGTACAAGCATGTACATAGGATTAAACCATTTAAACATAAACTAAACATTTTTATTATGAATTATTTCATTGAATTGAAAATTGAGAAAGTGAATTTTTGTTTTCTTAACCTTGACCTTGAATATCGCTATTTTGATTTTGTCATTAGTCATTTGTCAGTCACAGCCACAAGCTTAGAGCATTATAAGACTAGAGAGAGGCTCTTATCAAGCTAGCGGGCACTCTGTGGCGGCACCATACAAGACCTGGGGTAGTATTCTCGAATCACGAATACCGACATTCGCATACGTGTTTTACAATGTGTCTCACTTTGTTGAACAAAAACCAAGTGAGACAAATCATAAATCTCGCATGCGAATCTATGTTCGTTACTCGAGAATACTACCCCTGGGGCACCTATCCTCGACTGGTGCTTTAATCAATGCGAATGCGCATTTATAGCAGTGTTGCCAACCTTCAAGTATACTTTTTCCCTCTTCTTACCTTAAAAATTCCCACTTTTATAAAAAAATTCCCTCCTGTTAATAAAATCGGTTTTATATCAGAAATACAAGCATCTACATATTTTCCAAAATATATTTATTAAAAGAAAAACGAAGGTACGTAACAAAGTATAAAAAGTATAATCTAAAAAACATAAATCTTTTAACAAAACTTTAAAAATATATTAAAGAATTAACAATTTTAATTTTATTTATTTTTAAAATCATACATTTTTCACAATTTGGACTGAAGTAAAAAATTCCCGTTTTGAGTTAAATTTTTCCCTTTTTCCCTTTTGTTTTGAAAATTCCCGCAAAACGGGAAATTTCCCTCCGGTTGGCAACACTGATTTATAGAGAAAGTAAAAGTTGAAAAGTCTTTTGGTAGGTAGAGAGGGGGTAAACGTCAAACCACGTCGGGCGGCTCCGAGAATTTCACAGTAATGTTTACCTGCCAGTGTCGTTTCATAGAATAAGTAATTTTAAATTGTTATCGGCGGAACCGGACAATCGCATGTATTTATGGATTATAAATAATTATTAAACATGTATTATAATATTCAAATTATAATTTTACAAAATTTCAACAGCTATTTTCAATTTATTAAACTATTTACTCGAAATTGTTATTAACATCTATAAAATAATTTTGTACGCCAATGTATCGCGTCCACCTCGGTGAAATCCGCTGCCAACCTGTCAATTTATGTGTATAAAGTGGGAGAACTGGCAAAAGCATTTCCAACTTTTACTTCTGTTCTAGCCCAATGAACTGGAGTGGGGTAGAATGCTTGTCAATAGGCTTGAGATGCGACTCTATGGGCAAAGACACTCGGGAGTATTTATAACAACCATTTTCTATTTCACTTTGTTATTGTCTGATCCACCAGCTTGTGGATTGAACAATAACAATGTGAAACAGAAAATGGTTATTATAAATGCTCCCGAGTGAGATGAGAAATAAAAATGGCTGCGCCCATAGAGTCGCATCTTGTTCTATTGATACAATATGCACATTGGCTTTCTACCCCACTCCAGTTCATTGTTCTAGCCATGGTGTAGCTGACAGTGTTGCCGTCAGTTGCCGCCACATATTCATTAGTGACATACGTTTTATAAATTCATCGTGTTACATATTTGTTGACATAAAGAGATAGAAACTTAAAGTGACGTCTTGTATTACTTCGAATGAAAAAATCAATAATACCACAGACATCGATAAAGAAGATAGAACAGAAGTAAAAGTTGGAAATGCTTTTGCCAGTTCTCCCACTTTTGCCGCGTTTGAGAATCCACATCGGATGCATTTTTTACATCTCGAGCGTTTTTTTATCCACATCGGACACATCTACTACATCTACATCTGCGTTTGTTTATCCCAGATGTACCTGTTCAGATTACATTTTTTACATCTCGATTTGAAATGAGATGTGAATCAGATGTTCGTTCCATGCCAGAAAGTAAGTGTTCTGTGAAGCCTTTTTTGTCAATTTATCCTTTGTTTATGCTAGCATGAATATAAAAGTGATTAGTTTGTTTAATTTTTGTTAATATTTCAAATTTAGGTTGATTTGTAATCTCAAAAGTCAAATTTAATAAGTATAAACTTCTAACTTGTCATTGACATTTTATCACGTGACCAAATAAAGTCTAGAGCGTTTGTTTATTACATCTACATTCAGATCTAATTCTCTATCACGTGATAAAAAATTCACAACATCTCAGATGCATCCGATGTGGATTCTCAAACGCGGCAATAATACACATAAATTGACAGGTTGGCAGCGGATCTCACCGAAGTGGACGCAATACATTGGCGTACAAAATTATTTTATAGATGTTAATAACAATTTCGAGTAAATAGTTTAATAAATTGTGAATAGCTGTTGAAATTTTGTAAAATTATAATTTGAATATTATAATACATGTTTAATAATTATTTATAATCCATAAATACATGCGATTGTCCGGTTCCGCCGATAACAATTTAAAATTACTTATTCTATGAAACGACACTGGCAGGTAAACATTACTGTGAAATTCTCGGAGCCGCCCGACGTGGTTTGACGTTTACCCCCTCTCTACCTACCAAAAGCGTGTGTGTGTATGTATTTCTGTTTGGCACTGGTTTCAAAACCAATCTTAAATTAATTTTAATAAAATTTATTTTGTGTTAATTCAATTTTAAGTTCTATCCTTACAATATTTCACAGTTCACATTTTATTTGAAAAATACAAATTTCTCTAAATACATTATTAAGAAGTAAATCCTATAATAGGTTTTTCTAGCTCATGTTTTTGCTTGTTTTTGATTTTTTCGTCTGTTTTTGTTTTTTACTTGTTTTTTTTATTATTGAAAAAATTGAAAACCTTGACGTAATAAGGTTGGTTACATGCCATGTTAAGTAAGTTTTGGGAAATTAAATTTTTAATTTGTTTTAAATCTGTCAAATATAATTAAAAAAATTATTTAAATATAAATATTACGAAAAATAGCACATCTTTCGGATTAGAGGTAAAATAATTTGTATGTGGCTAGTAAAATCCTCGTTAACAAATGTTTTGAGCTAAAACAGTCACTTCACGACAAATTGTGACTTGGATCCTTTTTACACCAAGGGCTTCAATTGTTAAAGAAATGTGTCACGCTCGTGGATGCAAATCAAGTGGTACCTCGTGTCTCTGGCAAGTGTTACTCTTCGCGCAAAGGGTTTATACCTAGATAAACGAATGCTTCGACTGAGGTCTGGGAACTCTATGGTATTTTGGAATTATAAAGAATTTGTGCTTTTATTTTAACAATATTGGTTATATTTAGATGTATTATTATTAATTGAAATACAGATTTGTAGAAGTAATACTTTAACAGTTTTTATTAATATAATATATTCAATTTTTATCTGACCATACCGAAGTAGGGAATTTTGAAACTTTATAGTAATGTGAAATTTGAATTACAATATTACACGATATTACATAATTAGTACTTATTTTAGGTAGGTACTAAATTTGTACTTGGAGAAAGTAATATCGATTTTTACAAGAAAACTTGAAAAGTAAATTAATTTAGTTCTTATTTCTGATGTAAAACTTAAACCAAGAAAACAAATAAATTGTAGTTTGTTCAACAAGGGTGGATATGATAGCCATATCACACAAAGACGAAGTTTGAGCACGACGTCGTAGGCGGAGTACTCAATCGTCTGATTGTGATATGAACAATCCACTCGATATGGTCAGTATATTTTTCTACGACCCACTAACGAAAATCTACAAATTTAAAAAATTATTTTAGGTTATTTAGACAAAATAACTAATTTTAAGATAATTTACGAAGTTGACTAATTTATAAAATAAAATAAACATGAAAAATTAATTAGTCCTCGGCCTAGATTCGATCCCGGGCTTTTCGCATGGAAGGCAGATGTTCTGTCCTCATCTTCACCGAAACTTTCAGGACTTTAGTTTTAATACTCGTAATTAAATTAGTATCATGTAGTTTGATTAAAATTTATTTTTTTTTAAATATGGACATAATAAAAACAAAAATGCTATTATTTATCGAGTCTACACAAAAATTTTAATGTATATTTAATATCAATAACTAAAATATATATTGACAATTAGTTTAACAGAATTATCACTTATTTAAAAATTTTTAAATAATAGGAATTGGGTGACCAAAATATGAACTGTGATTTGTAGATTTAATTTTGTTAAAGTGTTCTCACTACCTAAAATGGATATGAAATATATTCGTAGTTGAACGCAATAACATAATTTTTCGTTTTATAGTATGTGCGTAGATTGGCTAATATCCATGCACAGATTACAAAACGAAAAAGTATGCTATTGCCTTCAATTGAACGAATATATTTCATATCCATTCTGGGTAGTGAGAACACTGCAAAAAAAATAAATTCGCCAATCACCGTTCATATTTTGATCAACCGACTGCTATTATTTTTAAAATTTTAAATAAATGACAATTCTGTCAAACTAATTGTCAGTATATTTTTTAGTTATTGAGATTAAACATACAATAAAATAAGTTATTATTTTGGAAAACGTTAGCATGGATGACTAAAGGGTATTGGGTTAATTAATTCTAAAAGTGTGGTACAAATGTTATTTTTTGTAGCCAATTCTTCAAAATTATTTTAAAATATCTTTTCAATATTGAATATTAGTTCTACAAATTCATCATTTGACAGTTGCAGATTTCCAAATGTATCTGAATTGGCGTTATCATATGCCTTTTAAAAGCAATAAAAAGAAAAATCGTCTAATTCAACGTGATCTTTGTTATATTTAAGACAGGTATCGCAGGAGTGGATCCGCAAGGCTTTTATTAAAAGGTAACCACACACATACCTGATAAAAATTTTCTGTAGCAATTCGTCTTTACAATAATTTAGGGTGTTAATAATTTCATCATAAAATAAAATACAAGGTGTTCCATTTAAAAAACATACATTTTAATTTTCCAGGCAAAAACGTGACACCCTGTATATCCAAAGATATTTTTAAAATATGTAGGTATTTTTCAAATCCATATAACTTTTATTTAAAACTTTCTTGCGTTTCTACAACAAAATAATGAACAATAACGCACTAATGAGACACCCTGTATAAATTATATTTTTAACAATGAAAATTTCTTATAATGTAGTACTTATCGGTTTGGGTCCTTGGGAAAACTAAAGAATGTTTTCTTGCAGGTATAACCCTTATTAAAACAGCTTTTGACTGCACAAACTCATTCTACTCACAGCTAAAGAGTCACCAAAATAATAACAGTACCTTTAACTCAAACAAAATCAACGAAATTATAGGCTCCACGAAATTATACAATCAACGAAATTATACGCACGACTCAACACCTTGCCTAAGTACGCTTCTGAACGCCAAAACCGTCTTATCCCTTCGAAGGCGGAGCTTAAGCGATGCGCGACGAAATCTACGCAAACCGTTGCCGCCAAGAGAGTGTTTTAGATGTGGCTGTATTGTATAAGCTGTGCAGTTTTTTCTGTCTTCTGTCCTGTCTAGTCTCACGTGTCACGTGTCATTAATGTCAAATTAATGTGTGGTGCGGTGTGTTGTGTGGTGTGTCAATCTGCTTCATTTTTCATTTTTGTTAAATAAAAAGTGTTTAGATATGATTTTTGATAAAATAGCAGTAATAAATAAAAAAAACTTGTAGTGTTATATTATCAAAAATTACAATACTCCTATCTGTAAAAGATTTGTGTTAAATTAAAATCTACCCTATCTAAATATTGATTGGTATGAAATTAACTGGGGACAATATTTAATGTCAGTTGCTCTAGGATCATGGGAGCAAATAGTAGTAAAAAGTTGGCAGCTAAGTGTTCTTTTTTGTCTAAAGATGAACAGTTGATTGTCAGCAATTCATTCAAACTTGCCAGCAAGAATTCTGAGAAAATCAAAGAAGAGGAACTCACTGTAATAACATTTAACAATCTTTGTCACACAAATATTTTATTTCTATTCATTCTAGAAAATATGGGGGTCCCAAATGGACGCAAGATTGCTCCAGTACCTAAATAATTATTTATTTGGAATTGGAGAACAGAAACAAAGCACTGTTGATTTGGAACGATTTGCAGAATTATTTGTATTTTGTACTAGAGGAACTGTAGATGAAAAAGTTAAAGTTTTGCTAACTTCATTAGGAAAGAGTGAACATGATTCGAATGAGATACCATATTTATTGGTAAAAGAGGTATGTTTAAAGATGTTTTATGGTTTTAGTAAAATATTTATTTTCTATTTATTTAATTAAAAGATATCTGTTGAATTAGAAATTATTTGATTGTTTGTTATCATTTGATCAGGCAATGAAATACTAATGCCTATCACAATGAACAGTGAATATTGTGTATATATTACAAGGAGGAAGCATCTTGCTTGATATGGGCTGCCAGAGTATCTGAAAGATCCATTGTGTTCTCTTCTGTCAATACCCTAAATTAGTGTTTACCTAATTATGGTTCCACTGACAATTACAGTGACACTAATTTTTTTGTATAAATAAAAATTGATTTGAGGGCGATTTACAGCCCGGCAAAATATTCTGAGATATACATTAGGTTGAGCACATAAATATTATCAAATTTATATAAAAAAAAGTTTCATTTTATTCCAATTTAAGCAGGCCAAGATTTTTTAAGTGTTTAATATAAGGGCTGGATTTGAGGGTGATTTCCTGCCCTGCAAAATAGTCTGACATAGGTATACATCAAATAGAAGACATAAATACAAGCTAATTTGTTTATAAAAAAATGAATTTACTTGCATTTTAAGTCAGTAAAGATTTTTTAAATATTTAATATAAGGGGTTGATTTGAGGGTGATTTACAGCCCGGCAAATTATTTTGAGATATATATTAGGTTGACCACATAAATATCAAATTTATATAAAAAAAGTTTCATTTTATTCCAATTTAAGCAGGCCAAGATTTTTTAAGTGTTTAATATAAGGGCTGGATTTGAGGGTGATTTCCTGCCTGGCAAAATATTCTGACTAATACATCAAATAGAAGACCTAAATACAAGCTAATTTGTTTATAAAAAAATTAATTTACTTGCATTTTAAGCCAGTAAAGATTTTTTAAGTGTTTAATATAAAGGGTTGTTTTGAGGGTAAATAATTTTTTGTAATTTAGATACATACGATTTATTACAGTTTGTTTACAATAAATTAATTCTTCACGGCCCAGCTATGGATTCACGGCTCAGCCATGAATTCACAGCCCAGCCATGGATTCACAGCCCAGCCATGGATTCACAGCCCAGCCAGCCATGGATTGATTACTGCTGGCGCTTTGGTTCCCGCCGTCAAACTCATGGCAGGAACTCGTGGCTCTTGTCACGCCGGTCCATTAAACTACTTTTTATGACCAGCAAATGATATTTAATAAAAAATAAAATATTAATAAAAGTTTGGTTATAATTAACTGTCAGTGGAACCAAAATTTAGTCACACTTTTATGGTGTATAAGGTGGCAAGAAAATAGTCTTGTCCTCCATAGTGACACTTCCAATCCTATTTTCCCAAGCAAGTTTATAATTTTGAGTGGCTCCAAGCTAGGCAGATCGCCCTCATCTATTTGGTATGCTCCCAAGTATAGTGTCCTTGGATTCTATAGTTCCACACATTCCTTATATTCTCTTCGTATGTAAAAAGTGTTTGTAAATCTTTTTGGAAATGAAACTATATCTGTAATTGGCATGCACTTTGGTGAAATTACAATCACACATCCATGAGAAGAAAGTTTTGTATGATTGGTTATGTGCTAAAAAACTAAAGTTCAATATAAAACTAAATATACGGAGTGGCCCAAAAGTCTGGAAACGGCCAATTACCTCGTAAATTGCTAGTCCTAATTGTACAAAATTTGAGGTACACCTATTTTGGAATACGGAGATTCCAGATTTGATATTTGCAATGTTGCCAGATTTGCCGTTTCTCATTAGTCACTTTGGTTTTTCAAATTCATCACCCTGTATATTAAGTCATTATTGGAATCTCCTATTCAATACGAGAGTTCAACCATATGTAACACTTATGATTTTATGTAGTCTGGAAGGTCTTAAATAAATAAAACAATCATGGAGAAATGTGGTAGATGCATTCTATCATCGATTAGGATACTGTCATTTTACAAATGGAGCACATTTTGAACAATTGATAAAGTAACCATTATGGTAAAAATGGTGTAATCTTTCAATTGTTATGTTTTAATGTAGTTGAACATAGTTTGTATTAAAAAATTTATTGAGAATTAGGTGTTGCCAGACTTCCGTTTTATTTATTTAAGACCTTCCAGACTACATAAAATCATAAGTGTTACACATGGTTGAACTCGTATTGAATAGGAGATTCCAATAATGACTTAATATACAAAGTGATGAATTTGAAAAACCATAGTGAATAATATAAGAGAAACGGCAAATCTGGCAACATTGCAAATATCAAATCTGGAATCTCCGTATCCCAAAATAGGTGTACCCCAAATTTTGTACAATTAGCAATTTACGAGATAATTGGCAGTTTCCAGACTTTTGGGCCACTATGTATAAATGATATTATGATCCAGGATATAATTTGGGTAGTCCCTCAGGGATCTGTGTTGGGTCCCATTTTATCCCTTCTTTATATAAATTACTTAGCTCAACTTAACATTGCAAGGTAGGTACTTCCACTGTATTTGCTACAATTTTATAACCAAGCAATGACACCTGCATTCTTTATACCACATCTTGTGACATTAAGCCTGATACTATGTCAACTATTTGTTTCTAAATATGGAAAAAACTAAAATGCTTACCCTTAAATGTTTTCTAGCAAATATTCAATTAGGAAATCATAATATTGAATGTACTGATACAATAAAATTTCTGAGCATTAATTTAGACAATAATTTGAAATTTAAGACCATATAGAATGGCTAAATAAAAAATTTTCATCTGGGTATTTTTCAGTCGGCACTGTGACAAATTAGTAATTCAATCAGCTAAAAGTATATAATATGCTCTAGTTGAGTTCCATTTAAGATATGGAATTTGTATTTTGGGGAGATTATCCAAAAATGTAATATAAATAAGTATACATATTAATTTTCAGTATGTGGAGAGTATAGTAGCCTCTTACATGAAAATTCAGAAACTTAGCAACAACAAGCAGTACAAAACATGGTTTTCACGTGGCTGTTTCATATTACCTCAAAATATTCAACGCTTAGCAGAAAGTCTTAGTTATGAATTAGCAACTGGAGAAAATTTAGATAAAAAATCCCTGGAAGTATGGTTGCAAGGATCAACATTATTAGGACAGCTTTTATTATTTGTTTCTATGTATTTATTTAGCATTAGCCATAAGGAGAAAGGAGGAATTTCTAGTAATGAAAAATCAGGTACACTTATTAATTATTATTATTATTTATAATTTATAACATACTAATTCATTTATATAATACTTAGCCACTAACTCACAATTCTAATTTATTACAATTTGTCTTTTCTCTCCACTACTTCAATTCAATCTTCTCGTCCGTCGACGAACTCACGCTATTTATATAATGCCAACTCTGTACTAGATTAATCCGGTAGTTTCTCGAGGCAGTGCGTTTGTCTCTATATGGCCAGCGCTAGACTTCATACCGCGGAACAGAGACGGCTATCGCATCACATTATTTTTTTGTTAATAAAATATGTAAATTAGTCTTTACTCGTATTAGATAGGCATTCCCTACTATTTTTCTAATGATATGATTTATCATTTAAAAACAAATTGAAATGTGTATCTCGTACACTAGGCTGTTGACCTTAATTTAATCATTTGCTTACAAAATTTGCAATCATAAAACAATTTTCAAAAGATACACAAAATAACAGTATGGAGCACAAATAATTAACTCATATTAAAAAAGACTGAATGCATTTTTTTTTAATTTTCTCTATTCTGAACTATTTTCCTCTAATTTTATTTGGTATTAACAAAGTGCTAGATATAATTTTGTATGATCAAATTACTTTTACTAAGAAAATTATAATTCATTCATATGAATTCCTAGGCAAAATTATAAATAATTGAGGGCTGTAAGTACATAACTTTTATCCATGTCACCTACATTTTGGGGTTTTCAACTAAATATAAGTATTTCGGAATTGGTTAACACCTATATATCTATTAGATTGTAAAATTCCAATCATATTGATTTTAATGGCACCAGAGTAGTTAGTTTTACTCACTTAGATAGTGACAAGAATTAATAAATTTTGTTTAAATTTCAGCTCCTGAAGAACAAGTCAGTTCTATAAGTGAAAAAGAAAGGGACAGAAGCTTGATACCTTTTTGTCGAGGTTTAGATTTGATGCCTTCTTATCCAAGTATCTTAGATCTTAATCAAATAGTTTTTATAAATGCTCACCTTCCGCAACAATATCAACTAGAATGGAGGTTTTTATTTAGTTCTGAAATACATGGAGAATCATTTTCAACATTAATAGGTATGTTGTTTTAGTTATCCATAATGTATTAATAATAAAATTGTTTAATTGTACATTATGAACATGTCAATATCGTCGTCCAATACAAATATTTAATTAGAGGTGGATAAAGAATTTTTTTTAAATGTTCATTGAAATAAAAAAAAAATATGCCTTTTTATGTTTTCTATTTCTACCACGGTTTGTGGTGCAACAATTTTTTAGCACCGACTACAATAACTTTTAAAGGTGAATATTCAAGAGGGTAATTTTTAATCACACCTAATGTAACCTGCCTACAATATCTAAATATGTGACATGATTTTTGTCGCCTTCCATTTCTGAAGACATTTATGTTAATATGCACGGATTATTTCAAATCAGATGGTTTAACAACACAACTTTATATCATAAAAATAAAATGTCAGAGTAATCAAACTACCACAAAAAAAATATGACATATACATATTTTCGAAATTTTTTAAAGTATGTGAGCTGATGTATATTAAAATGGTCGACTTATGATATGGTTACATTTATGTGGTTATTATAAATATAAATAAAAAGTTTTAAGAATTTTGTTTATTATCTGAGTGTTTTATTTATGTGATCGTAATCTCAATAACTTCAGTGAAGCGGGAGTATTGTGCATTATTGAGACTTATAAGTAGTTCGGGTGTGTATTTCACATGTTTACAGAAAACAAAAACGCTACGCTTGACAGGTACTGACGTGTTTGACTTGGTTTTGTTGTATTTGTATTTCAATAAATTAAGTTACTTTAAAATAAAAATATTGGATAAAAATTAATGAAATTCATTTTATCAAAAAGGGCGGTGTATCGAACGGGGCCTAGGGCGGCAGCAAGCCTAAATCCGTCACTGGATGTTGTTGGTGTCACCTTATACATGGCTCTCAGAATCTTCTTTTGAGATACAAAAGCTCTTTCAAAGTATGGTGAAGAACCCCAAAATATTAACCCATATTGTAGAGTTGAATGAACCAAACCAAAATAGCATAGTTTTAAAGTATCAAAAGATAGTGTCTCCCTTAAATTTTTGATGATATAACAACATGTACTTAATTTTGAAGTTACCATTTTTATATGAGCTTCCCAATTTAATTTAGGATCTAATATTATTTCTAAAAATTTTATGTCATCAACGCTTTGAATAGTTTTTCCGTCAAATTGCAAGTAGGGTTCGTAATCTGGTAATATGTTTTTGGGTAGAAATTGCATGAAGTTTGTTTTTGTTACATTTAATGCCAGACCGTTATCTTTACAATACTGGTTAAACTCACGAGATGCCTCGTTGCTACTTTGAGTGACCTGTTCAATTTGATCATCTGCCATTACAACATTGGCATATTGAACTATTTGTTGAGAGCTTAAACAAAAATTACTTATATCACTTATAAAAACTATAAAAAGAAGTGGGCCCAAAATTGAACCTTGGGGAACTCCTATTGTACATAGAAGAGGATCAGATTTTAGAATATTTGTTACAATTACTTGAGTTCGATTTATTAAGTAAGACTGTATCCATTCATAAGGTTTCCCTCGTATTCCTAACCCATTCATCTTCAATAATAAAAGATTATGATCCACAATATCAAATGCATGGCTAAGGTCATAGAAGAGTCCCAAAATATGTTTTTTATCATTGAGTGCTTGATATATAAACTCTAGGCAAGCTGCAATTGCAGTAGATGTTGACTTATTTTTTCTAAATCTATTTTGAGTATCTGGCAACATATTAAAACTTTCAAGGTAATTAGTGAGTCTTATAAAGTATGCTGACTCAAATATTTTAGTTATTTGACTATAAATACAGATTAAACGATAATTTTCTATATTAGATACAGATCCTTTATTTTTATAAACAGGAATTCCTTTAGACTCCTTCATATTTGGGAATAATCCCGAAACAAAGGATTCATTAATCAAATGTGATATGGGTTCAGCAATACAATGAGCAACCGATAACAGAATTTTAACCATTTATTTCGTCAATACCTTCAGTGGGTTTAGAAGTAGTTAGGAATTTTATTTAAGTAAATATTGTTTGACCTTTTATTTCGAGAAATTAAATGATGTCATTTTGAGAAACTGATAAAGTTAATAAGAATAACATTTTAGTATACCCAAATGGGAAAAAGATTTACAAAAAAAAATATTTTTGATAAAAAGTTCTGCATTGCTTGGAAATCCATTTTATAGAGATATGAATTTTTATCAAAAATATATATATTAATGTGATTCATTTCCGCAAAATTCAAGCAACATATTAATGTACATAATGAAAAAAAAATTATCACCAAGTTTGAGCTCTTAATATCAATTTTAAGTACTTACTATTTAAATTTAAAGTTTTACAATTTAAAATGCATGTAAAAAAATATTTTTTTTTTCAAATTTCTAATGCTTACCCCACCTTTTACAATATTGCAAATCGGTTTGATGGACCTTGTGGGGAATTTCACGCTCTTCGAAATTATATTCATTATGAGTGACAATAATTCTAAAAAAGTTCTTAGTGTAAGGAAATATAATGGTAATCAATAGAAAAAATTAATCTAAACAACTCTGAAGCAATTTCAAAGAGCATGAAATTCCCCATAAGGTCCATCAAACCGATTTGCATTATTGTAAAAGGTGGGTAAGCATTAGAAATTAAAAAAAGTTTAAATTTTTTTACATGCATTTTAAATGGTAAAACTTTAAATTTAAATAGTAAGTACTTAAAATTGATATTAAGAGCTCAAACTTGCTGAGATTTTTTTTTTCTATATGTAGATTATTATTTTGCTTGAGCACCGAAAAAAAAAAACTTTGCGGAAATGAATCAGCCTAATATATATATTTTTTTGGCAAATGTATTTAAGTAATTGAAGAAACTCATTTAAACCCAAGTTTGTTGACTTTAACTATGGGAGTTAAAGAAAAAAATAATATACCAAATAAAATCTGAACCATTTTAATTTCTTACTTCATATTTTTAATTTCTTATTTCTAGGTAGGATAGTTAACCAAGGACCATCAATTCTCATAGTTGAAGAGAAAAACGGTTACACATTTGGTGGATTTGCACCGGGGAATTGGGAATTAAACCCGAAATTTTTTGGTGATGATAGTAGTTTTTTATTTACACTTGCGCCAAGAATGAGAGTATTTTCATCTACAGGATATAATCAAAATTTTCAATACCTCAATTTGCATCAACAGACTCTTCCAAATGGAATGGTAAGTTAGATAAGGGCTACAATTTTTAAGGATTTTTTTTTAGAATTTGTAATTTTAAAAGACAATTATTAATTTTAATATAAATATGTTCTATAGCTATTTTAAAAATCAACCAGAAATATGTCTTTTCATAAGGAGGTCGCAGACAAATATTTTCAGAAAAACTGCTGTTTGTTTTTTGTAGAGATTATAAAAAATTACTCATTACTTTTAAACTGCATTTATATTATGAATATTTTTAGCAAATTTTAATAGTTTATTAGCCAATTGCAAGAATGTATTCTAAATATTGATGGTCTGTTAAATTTCTGCATGTAGCTTGAGAATGTGATCTGCCTAAATGACATAAACTTCAATTATTTCAGGATGCAAACATATTATGTCAAAGTTTTAACAGAGCATTAGTATTTAATAAACATTTTCCTTCAACTTGCTGTAGGTATATATTAATACTATTTTAATATTAGTGTAGAATCAACATACATTTAAAATAAAACAAAACTACATAAGTATACAGTACACGTACATGTAAAATGATAACATAATGTCAACTATACAAAACATAATAAAAGAACAAGAGAAAAAAAATTACATCAAATAGTCAGCAACTACACACTCAGTTTTCTTTTAAATATTGCTGCATTTGAAGAGCATTTAATATTTAATATCTTCAAGCAAATTATGAAAAGCCTGTACAACTTTAAAAAATACTGAATTTTGTGTATATTTTTTGTGGCCTTATGAACTCTAAATTTTTCTTATTTCGTGTATTGTATTCATGATCGGTCTTAAATGGGTAGCATTACTTGGATTCGAAATTTTTGGTATCGGATTTATTGTAGCAATCTTAATATCGTCCGGAACTAAGTTTGTTTCAATAGAAAAATTTATAATATGTAATAGAGGTTGGGATAAACTCTCAAAACATTAATAAAATTGTGGACTATTTTTATTTGACATTGAAAATAATATTTCATTTAATTCATTATAATTAATTAGTTTAAAATTTACAAAAGTTTCAATTTCACTTAAATGGGGTAAAATCGGATAATTATTAATAGAAGGTAACTGCTCAGATATTTGTTCAATACTCTTTACGTAGTAATAATTTAAAGCATTTGGAAAAATAAGATCCTGCTGATTGTCACAAAGATTGTCGAATTCAATATTAGTATTAGTAAAACTGCTTTCGATATTAGCTGTTGGAATTAAAGATTTCATAGTTTTCCATATCTCAGTAGGGTTACCCTTGTTTAAATCTATGTTAGTTTCTTCATATTTGCTTTCTTCATGTTTAATTACATTCACTGGTTTATTCCTATTACATCTATATATTTGCCATTTTTCATCTGATTTGTTAGTAATAAATGTTTTATAACTTTTATCTCTCTAGCTCTAACCTGAACATTCCACCAGTTCTGATAATATGGTAAAATTTTTACTTGTTTTTTTTTGTGCCACTTCATTGACAACTTTTAAATTTTATCTAAAAAATATCTGTATTTTTCATTAATATCATGTAACCAATAATTCCATGTAATATATTTTAGATTATTATTAATTATTGTTTTATCAATAAACCTACCTTTACTTTATCGTTTCCCTTTTCTGTTTTTTTTTTGTTTGTTTAGTTTTGCAATAATATTTCTGTGACTACTGATTTTTGGTGTGTCTATTACTTCAGTTTTAATATCTGAGTTTGTAATAATTAAATCAATTAATGATCAACCATTAGTATTTGCATGTAAATTCTTTTACCACATTCTTAAAAGCTGTATCATTAACAATATTTTTTAATCTTTTTAAATGAGTTGAATTACTATACCAAGCAATATTGAAATCGCCAACCAATATAACTTCTAAGTTAGCATCAGTTAAATTCATCTCACACCATTTTTGTTTTGATCCATTTGGTTATTCATTATCCTATCACATATAAGGAAATTGTCTTTTAGAAAGTTAAATTTTACCAATATTTCCTGCGGCCTCTACCGCATTTCAACCTCCATAACATCTCTATTTTGCCAGCTATCTGTTTTGTCATATATATCTGAATGTCCTTTTTGGTCAATGCTTTTCCATCCTCATGACATGGTCATCCCATAAATTAAGAAAGAAGTTCACAGCTCCATCATCCACAATGTGCCTCTAGCTACCTTCTTCCTACAATTCCGTACTCTACTTAATTGTTGACCGGATTCGTATTTTAATTTAATTATCCTGTGCTGTTAAAACATTTAAAACGTTTCTCCTGTTCTATTCCTATTTTGTCATTCTTTCTGTATATAAATAGTACTAGTACTTCCTAAATACTTATAGTCTAAGATCCGAAGTAAGGTCGACCTTCACCCATCTGTTTAATGGATGAGTTTCTTTCTGTTAAATAAAATATGTTTATAAATATATCGCAAAAGGGTTGCCTAAGAAAATACGGTCCGGAGTATTTATTTTCTAAAAATAAAAAAAAACGACACCCTGTAAAGTATTTCCCAGATGCTTCGATTATGCCCAAACTTTTATCAGCTCACCGCAGTATAGATTAAAGCCTAAGTTTAAAATTTGGTGTTTTTTTCTTTATCCGTTTTTGAGTTGTCTTCAAAATTCGAAATTTGCAGTTTTTCTTAAATATCTCGAATTAGGTCCATTTTAGGGAAATCATGTATAGGGACAAAATAATAGAGAATGACATCATAAGCAACTTTTATCATGATTCCTATACTTTCCTCATCTGTACACAGAAAGGAAAGCAAAAAATTGCCGTGACCGTATTTTTTTAGGCAACCCATTTGCGGTATATTTAAAAACATATTTTATCTAATAAAAAAAAACTTTTATTCATTAAAGAGATGGGTGAAGGTCGACCTTACTTACGGATCCTGGACTATTACATTCTTGAAAATTTCTAATATAAAAAGTTATCCTCAAAAAATGCTTCTAAAGTAGGCCATGACCAACAAAGACAATGATACGATTCATATCCGGCTCTGAATTAAATCCAAACTGACTTTTAAAAAGAAGGATTGAACTTTGATATGCGTTAAATTGTCCAATTCCTACTTTAGAAACATTTTGTTGATCACTATCAACGATGAAAGTTTACTAGACCATCTATTAGAAAGAGCGAGATGCCTACTAAATTGCGTAGGAATTGTTTGTGAGAGCACGTATTTTATGAATGTACCAGCTCGTACAACTACGATTCCTGCTTTGCACCTTTACTACACTGCAAGATACATGGTGTTCTTTCCTGTAAATCACCTTCAGCTACAATAATAGTTGCAACCAAAAACATACATTAAACTGATCATAACTGACATTAAGAATGCAAATATACTTCCTTAATGTAATTTTGAAAGCCTTATGTTGAGTAAATTCCGAGTTAAAACCATAAACAATCCTTGTAACAATACTCTCCCATAATAAATTGGCAACTACGTGGATAACATTGTGAATGCTTGCAATTCGGTGTTTATAAACAAAATTGGTCTAGTAGTTGTATTCATCGTTGATCACTCCTTTAATTGTTTTTAAGGCGATGGGAGGCCAACATGGCTACTGGGGCTTGTGGATAGACAGCGAATATGGAAAAGGACAGAGCAGTCAATCCTGTACAACATACATGGGCTATCAGCAACTTTCTTCTGCCAAAGAATTCACATTTAGACATTTGGAGGTGTGGGGTCTCGGTCAGCCACCTCTCACCCCTCAAGAAAAGGGTGAACGAGTACAGGGTGGACCTGGCATGAGCATTCTTGATGGCAACGCAGATCATAAAGCTATGTTAGAGATGACTGGTAAAACATTGCATAGTGAAGGATTAAGAGAACCTGTAGAAGAAGATTAGATTTCATATTTTAAATTATATTTATGTAAAATAACTACTTAAATACATCATATGGTAAAGTACAAAGTTCAGGAGCTACTCATTAACTTTGACTGTTACATATTTTCAATAAAATATTGAATTGCACTCATTATAGTATAAAAAAATCAATGTTATTGATTAGAATGAGCTTCATTCATTAACTGAAATTGTTTAAACATCAATAAATTGCACTATAAAGTTAATCATTTAAACTTGAACCATCTTTTTTATGGGCATTTAAAATAATGTGAATAAAACATAAAGCCCATGGTGCCATGCAATACTTATTGTTTATTTAGGTTTCATTACTAATCTTGTTTTGAAATGATTGAAGCTTGAGAAAGTTTTTTGAAATCTTATATACATTTGAAAATCTAAAAAATCAAATTAAAAATACTCCAAAATAACATTTTACAATTAAACCTAGCTATTAAAATGGTTTTAAAATGTATGTATTTATATTAAATATATAACCATAGTAATAGTTGAATACGGAAATAATAGACAGTAATTTAATGGGTGAAGAATGCTGTCATATGTCATTGCGCCAAAGTTTTTTCACAAAATTTCATATGCCTATCTGGGTCATCAACTCTAAATTATTGCAAAATTCAATATGCCTATCTGGGCCATCATTGCTAAATTCTTGCAAAATTTGCATTTTATATGAATAAAATTTATGAATTTTCAATATCTTCCAAACAGATTCCTGTGATAATCATGTTGCTGCAGATACTTGCTGGATACTTGATTGAATCTAATTCATTGCTAACTGCCCAAGCTCTTAAATTTGAGTTGCCTCGTTAAGTAACCGGGGAGTATATAATTTTTTATTTGCAACTGAACAAGTTTCTTCAAACTAAATCTAAAACATGACTTAAACGTCTTTGGTTAAACTGCAGATGTTCTCAAAAACAACCAAATATGAAAGACATTTATATACGCTCATCTAGAGTATAAACCATTATTGCAAAATATTCAATGACACACTTAAATAATGCCAATAACTTTATTTAAGGATTCACAGGATTTTCACAAACTGATGGTTATGTTGTACTAAAGGTCCGTGTAATAGAAATAATAACAAACGAGGGGGGGTAGGTGGCTCAGTGGTTAGAGTCAGGACTTTGAGATCCAAGGGTCTCAGATCCGAATCCTGCCGGTGAGTGACAGGATTTTAATTTAATGAATTAAATATTAATTCTAATGCTTTGGTATGATTCCCTACTCGATCATTCACTGTTGGGTTCTAATTAATATTGCTGTTCATAAAGTAGCCCCGGGAAACAGTAACAAAGCCTGTATACAACACAAGCCTAATAACCATAGCAGGTGATGCAGATGACACAATACAATAACAAAGGAACTCGTAAGCAATATATGCTAAATTACTGAAATGGTTCCAACGAAAATATTGTTACCCTGCACCAATCTGCGGCTCTTATAGGCAAACATACTAAAGACAAAAGATGAAGTGCAATGTCAACCAGCGTCCTACAGTGTGCTGCGGTTGTTATAAGTACAAGTAGATTAAAATAAAAAGAGAGTCTAGAACTATCTAAAGGGCGGAATATATTTCCATTCCGTGTCTTGAAACATCTGGAGAAAATCAAGTTAATTGTCAAAGTGAGTTTGGAAATAATGAGTTTACCAAGAACTAGTGTAACAATGTTTTCTTGAAATATTACCAAAATGGATTTTCCTTAGTTTTTAGTGAGAATTATAGATAAAATCCCTAAAATTAGAAACCTTAAGAATGATTAATGGAAAAATTATTATTAAGAGAATAAATACTCGCAAGGAGTCTAAGGCATTAACTTTCATCATATTCCAGCTTTTTCTTTTATTCCGCCCGGTGATATTTCATCAGACTTTGATGAGATAAAGCCTCTTATTTCAATTGAAACAGATGCAGTAGTACAATGGTTCCAGGAAAATTATGTACGTAGAAAAGTAAGACAAACAACAAGAAATGGAAAAGTCCTAGGCTATTTCCTATATTTTTGCTCAGTATTTCGGATAGAAGCATGGTATACACGTTTTGAAACACTTATTGAGAAATCTCATGTTAGAGACTACACAATAATTCTGAGATTAAGAAGCAACATTCACAAATTCAATGCAAGACTGAAGATATTTCTTGTAGGAGAGCTCTGTTGCTGATTCGTAGGGAATACATTGAAACAGAAAAACGCATTTACTACTGTCTTCAACGATAGAACAAAGGGGTAAAGGATGTGTATTTTATTCTCCTAGTTGAGAGCCGGCTGATATTGTCTTTTCTAGTCTCTTCAGCCGCTCTGGTGGGATCAGGTAAGGGGATGGGGGTGAAGAATTGGTGGTCAGTATCAGAGGATGTTACTGACCCAACATTTACCTAGTGCTATGAGAAAACCTCAGCAGGCCAGGCGAGGCAGATGAATTACTGTAGAGCCACCTCGCCCGGCACGACATAACAAACTGTTCAACTCACATAGTTGTCAGGAAAACGTACTTGTCTGGCAAACGTACTAGAGCTGTTTTTTCTAAATAACTGAAACAGTCCTTGATAATTTTGTAATATATTGTCTTTCTCAATCTTATTGAATCTAATCTGTATATTTAATCGTTTATGAAATCCCAATGTTCTTTCTGCAGTAAATGTTTGAAAAAGAGTAGTATTTGCTGTTTCAAATAGAACATTAACCCTGAAAGTGTTTTTATAAAGCAAGAATGAATTGTTTTTTTACAAATATTTTCGCTTTTATAGGAATTAGCTAGTTCCCACGGGATCGCTTGCGACTGGCATTTTATTGAATGTATTTTCTTATAGTTTTATAAAGTGATTGTCAAAAGTTTTATTTTTAATTGTGTTATGTACTATTAGTAAAGTTAAAGAGCAGATAACCATTATTTTGTCTCTTGTGACAACACACTTATTAAATGAGTTGTGTAATAAAAAAATATTTCATATACAATATGACATTATATAATATGTTCTCCATACTTAAGAACTATTTTTGTTTTTATTTACTATACACGGTGCCCAGCAAAAACGTAACAGGCCTTTTTTTTTTTTTTTCGAAAAACCTGATTTATTAAATTTTTTGATTTCGAAACAGACAATATCTTAATAATTAACGATTTCGTTCACACATAACTTCAATCTCCGTCAGTGGTTCATGTCACCATTAAAATTTTAAATGGCAAGGTAGTCTAATGATTAATGATAAATCGTTTGAAAAGCCGTCAAATTTATCTTTAAAATGTTTCATTTTTAGAATATTTATTATTTACTAGGTAAATGCAATAAACTTGTGTTCAAGTGTTCATGGTTTTTAATGATCTGTTTTAAGAATGCATCTAAAATATGTTTGTTTCAAAAAGATGGCAAATAATACAAACGCCAAAACTACGAATATGGCGGTTGAATGCACCATTGATGTAAAAGTAGATGAATATTGATAGCTGCTAAAGTTACATACTAGGAACATAATTGTCCTGTTTTACAAGAACGCTTGTTAAATCTCTGTAATGATCCCATAATTTAATTAATTTATGTCATCTAAACATCACACTCTCAGGCTCTGTCAACTTGTTCAGGCTAATACATTTTAAAGATTGTTATTACAACCAGCTATTCATTATTTTAATCAAGGGAAATATAACGAGACCTTGATAAATAGTCGACTATTTTTATTGGATCTAAATTTTGAGAGTTTTAGCTCGTGGACTTTATTCTTTGATTATTAAAGACAAAATTATGTTGAGATAAATTGCAAAATACATGAAAAATTTAGTAACAATAAAAATAGGCCATAATTTATTAAGGAGTTATATTTAATGATATTATTTCTAGAGCCCTAGATGTAACTTTAATAAATAAAATAACTTTTATTTTCGGTTCATTTTGAAACGTTCCACGAGATATTAGCTTGTACTCTGACAATTAATATTTGACAGTACCTATTATTAAATATTACACCTATAATCAAGTATGCGAGTTGCTGTCAACATAGGAGAATATCAAACACCATGCATGATAGTCGATATGAGATATTAAGTGAAAATAATCGATTTATTTGGTTCTGATTGTTTCTAACTATAACGTAAATTGCGATGAGATTGGTTAAAATGTCAAAGTTGACAGGTGAGGAAAATAATCAATATTATAGGGTACATTATAAAGAGGATTTAACAGCCATTCAAGAATTGTGTTAGTCTAAGATCCGACTGTATGATTTCGGCACTCATCTGGTTTTTAATAAAAATACAATTTTTATAGATAATTTCCAACGATAATACCGTAAAAACAAAATTTTTCAGTTTTCTACACATTTCTCCATTGCGGTCCATCTTAAAGAAATCATGTATTTGACCAAAATTATAGAGAATGACATCACAAACAACTACTGTTGAAAGAATTTTCTTCTATAATCATAAATAAAAGAAATATATGTTGAAGTGAAAAAAAAAAGTAGTTGCGGTCATATTTTGGTAGGGAACCCAGCAAAATCTTATTTCTCTATCAATAATTATCTATAAAATACTATTTTGATTAAAAAACAGAGTGCAGAAATCATAATCGCAGACTGTATTTAGACACCTATTATCAGTTAAAATTTTATGGGCATGAGAGTCAGTGTTTTGTGGTGGGAATTAATGAAAAATACCAATATGTTCACATTGAAACTAAACTTAATGAGTAAGTAGGTCGGAACATTAAAAGAAAGAGCCTGCTTCGTTCTGACTGGACCACTATTTGCTGTGTAATGCCTTATTCCTTTGTTGATTTTTAACGTATATTTTTTTTAAGACTGTTATAACAAAAATATTTAATATTTATTGTACTGATTAAATAATATTTATTAAGATTTTATTGAAATGTATTTATGTAAACTGTAAAGTTATATCCTTAATTATCAACACCCGTCAAATGTATATGTCGTAGTCTTATAATGAAATTCGTCTTTTCATGAAGATTCTAGTCACATCATGAAGCGTCGGCCGAGACTTTTCGTTTGAAGCTGATAGTTATTTTGTTATTATTTATGGTTATTATAGAGGAAAATAATGAAAAGGAGTTGTTTACTACAGCAAATATACGTCATGTTTGAATAAAAGACTACAACATGCATTAGATAAGGCATAAACAATTATTTGAGGTTATGTTATGAATCATGCAAATATAAGTAAGCACCAATGCTAGATAATATAGGATGGACCCAATAATAATTATTTTAGTATGTCCGTATATGGTGCGTTTAGATCTTACTAGAAGATTTACTTTAAGCTTAAGAACTGGTTTAAATTTGTTTCACATAGCTGGCCAGTTCAGTTGCAGAATATTGATCGTGAGATTTCTAATATAAAGTCATTCGATATTTCTTGTCTACTTCCACGTCACATCACATAAGGGGAGAATAAGTTATTGTATAAGCAAAAATATTTTGTTTTTGTCCTAAACTGTCGGACTAGCTCTAAAATGACCAAAAACTAGATTTGACAAAAAAAAATTCACTGTGTGTCCACCATAACTCCCGAACGGTTTGCGGTATCGATTTAAAATTTAATGGACATATCAAAAAAC